CACACACTTGTAATACAAACCAATACAAGCGATTTGAATCTATGATCGTTTGTTAAACAACTTTTATCCTAAGTTGAATAAAATTCTGAGATTTAAATGGTCAGTTGGCAAGGTAAAATTATGAGGATTCACAATCTTAATTCCATTTTATTCGATTTACTTTTTTGTTTAAATTGACATTCATCGGTACGTTTACAATGCAAACAGACTAGAAATGATGGTTTCAAGAGCCTGAAACGAATTAAGGACGGATTCTCTGCTCCCAGATATAATCCTTCTACCTTTCATGTCCACGGCCTAACAAAAATCTCTACAGCTCCAACAGTTGATGAGGATATTGGAACCCTGTGTGGCAAACGAGCTGCTTCGCCCTACCTTATTGAGGACCGAGAGTTGGCTCACATGGATTCAGCCGTGAGAAAGACTTTGCCATCTATTAGTTGCGTGATTGCAGCAGTCGACGCTGTTAACACTGCTCTGGAACATACTTACTTTGATCAAGACGCTTACATCCGAGGATGCATGACTTTAGCTCTGGACCAGTTCCAAATTATCCAGGATCAGTTGTCTCATTTTTTTGGGCTACACTCATGCCAGTTGCCGACGTGGACCCCTTAACATCTCTTCATGGGAGGAGAAATTTAAAACAGAACTGTTTCACCAACCTTATTTACTGACTCCCTCTTCAATGGTAGCATCCAAGAAGTATGTAATAAAGTTGATAAAGAAAGCCACTTTCAAGTCTCGATTGAACTGTTAAAGATACAAAAGTCACAGCTCCAGGACACATTAAAACAGCGTCAAACTGCACAGTTCACCCCTACCAATCCGGATTTACGCAATCTTTTTCGTGGCGCATCCACTCAAGGCCGTGGCAGAGGAAACAGATCTGGCCGTGGTGGTTCCTCCCGTCGCCCCCCAGGACCAACTCTGGCCCAGGGACCAGCGCCGGGAAGCTGTGACGGCTTGAGACAATCGCACGCCTGGGACCTCCCGCCCCAGTCGTTCCGATTTACAACACTCCGGTAGGCAGGTGATTGCAGATCTTCGCCCCGAAGTGGACCATCCTCAAAGATCCGTATGTCACCAACCTGCTACTTCACGGCTATCAGCTACCCGTTATTGGCAGTCAACCTCTGACGTCGCATCTGGCTCATCCCTCATATCCTGTGGACCAGCTTCAGACTCTGCAATCCACAATAGGTACGCTATTAAACAAACTCGCGATAGAGCTCCTAGGTCCATCGCCCGTCACTCCAGGATTCTACTCCCCCATCTTCTTGGTTCCAAAGAAAAATTCCAACTAACTCTGGCACATCTTCAATATGAAGTTGTTCAATGCCCGATTCCTGCTTCCACCACCTCACTTTAGGATGGTGTCGATCAACCTTTTACACACCATCCTGAAGAAGGGAGACTTCCTCATCAGCCTAGATCTTCACGTTCCGATACATCCAGAACACCGGAAGTACCTTCGCGTCGTGTTCAACAGGAATCACTACCAATGGAAAAGTCCTACCATTTGGAATTTCCACAGCCCCGTGGCTTTTTACCTGAATTACCAAGCCTCCACTTTCAAGGGAAAGCTACATACTTAGTAGATGATTGCATCCAGGCTCAACAGGATCCGATCGTATTGCTTCGCCATATTCGCTACAGTTCACCACCACGCTGCTCAGACAGTTAGGTGGCTGTTGAACATCGCAAAATCGGAACTAATACTGACTCAGAAACTCCAATTCATCGGAGCACTGTTCAACACTCGTCAGGGGATGATGTTCGTACCTCACGACAGGTGGATCAAGATTCAGCAATGCATTCCTCCAGCGCTGTCTCAGGCGAGAACCTTACGACAGTGGCAGGAGCTACGGGGCCTTCTGACGTCAGCTCAAGCCTTAACATACAGAGGCCAGCTCCATCTTTGGCCGATACAGCGATTTCTACGCCCGTACCTTCAGGCCGACAACCCCAAGGAACTAATTTGCCCTCCAGAACCACTTCGTCCAGTCCTTCAATGGTGGCTCGGCGAACGGAATGTTTGCGCCAGAGTCTCTATGATGCCCTTTGCACCGACTCGTCACCTATTCGTCAATGCATCCCTCATGGGTTGGGGAGCTCACTTCCTCGACCACCAAGTCGCCAGGCTGTGGTCAACCGACGAACGGTTACTTCATATAAACGAGCTGGAATTCAAGGTGGTAATTCAAGCCATCTCACATTGGGCAACAGAGCTTCAATCAACCAGTCTGTTGATCCAATCAGACAATTCGACAGTGGTTTGGTATATAAATCATCTAGCCTCGGCAAATCTGCTACAATGGGCGATCAGGTTCTTCCATCTCAGCGACTCACTCAACATCGTAGCCAGAGCCAGACACATTCCCGGGGTTAAAAATGTGATCGCCGATGCCTTGTCCGGATCCAACCGACCGTCCCCGACAGAGTGGAACTTACTGCCCCAGATCTTTCAGTCGATGATCTACCCGTTATCACGGCCTCAAATAGATCTGTTCGCCACAAGGTTCAACAACCAACTTCCAAAGTTCGTATCACCAATCCCAGACTCCTTGGCGTGGGACCTCGACGCGTTGGCAATATCATGGGAGGGTCTCAATGCCTATGCGTTCCCCCCTCCAGCTCTGCTACCAAAAGTAATACAGAAACTGTTGGCCACCAGCAACATACTACTGCTTTTGGTCGCACCCTTCTGGCCAGCGAGAAGTTGGTTCGTCAACCTAAGAAGCCTGGCAGAGCCAAACCCAGTACCGCTTCCCAACCGGGATGACCTACTTCTTCACCCTCACTTGGAACTGCACCATGGGTCACCTCAGACCCTCAATCTACATGTTTGGCGCATCTTCAGAGGTCTCTCACAGCTAAGGGCTACTCTCGCCGAGTAGCCACAGCTATCACTTCAGCTCATCGTACTTCGACCCGTTCCTTGTACGACAATTGGAAGAAGTTTGAACACTATTGCAAGCTTAGGGGAATTGCATCTCCCACTTCCACCTCGGCTCAGGTCGTTGCTGAGTTTCTCCAGCATTTCCGCACTACTAAGAAATTCAAGGGTACTACGTTGGCTACCTACTTAGCCGCCATTAACTCGGTTTTGGCTAACACCACGGGCACGAAGATTTCCACTGTTCTCGAGTTGCAGGGTCTACTACGCTCCTATAGACTCTCTGACCAGTCCAGGAAGTTCAGACCTCCGGCCTGGGATCTGTCCGTCGTCCTTCGTCATATGATTTCTACATATTATGAACCTTTAGAAGACAAGGACTTCGAACAAGTGACATTCAAGACATTCTTCCTGGTAGCTTTGGCTACCGCTGCTCGTATATCTGAACTGCATGCGCTTGATGTCAATCGGGTGCGGTTTGAGCGGAAGAAGCATGGCAAGGCTTTCCTTGGTCTCCGCTGGGACTTCATTGCGAAAAACCAACTGCCAGGGCAACCGGACCGGATGTTTACCATTCCCCCGTTGTCCACCATTCTTGGGCCTGATGACAATGAAGATTTGACACTCTGCCCTGTTAAGGCTTTACACGTTTACCATGCTGCCTCCAAGGATCGTCGACGGCTACGGAAGCGCCTCTTCATACCCTTGTCTAACGCTTCAAGAACATTAGCCTTCTGGATGCGTGCCACGATCCTGCGAGCCTACACCTTTGCAGGGTTGCCTCCTCCAGCCGCTTCCAATCCTCATGAGACTCGTGCACTAGCGTCAACGATGGCCCTCCTTAGCAACTGCTCATTTAACCGCTATCATGGATGTCCAGGGACTACACCAGTTCGGACCTCTTGTACTGGCTCAGCAGCTTACATCGGCCCAACAACGCAGATGAGGGACGGTTCCGCATTCGCGTTATTACTTCCTTGTATATACTGAATAAAAGTTGAACTGGATCTCAACCTTTTTTCTCATTATTTGGGTTTAAGAACTACTTCACTGGGCCTCCATACCAAGGCATCGGAATACGGCCACCTAGCGCGGCCCTACGGACCTGAGGCACAATCAGTATGACGTTGCAGAGGTGTTCGACATTCACGCTTACTGACCTCTACTCCATGGAGCAATTACGTCAGTGAAGTGTGACACTCCCGAATTCCAGTGGATTTCGTTGCGTTCTGCCTCCAAAGTTGCCGGGCACATCCTTTGACTAAGCTTAGGCAAAGGAGTGAGGGTCAATTTGATGCTGCCCGGAACTGAATGTTAAACCTTGGAGATGCCGAGTTGTGTTTCTCTTTCACTCGCCTAGGTCGGTGTCTGGGGGGCCTTCTTGAAGCAGGGGCTGGCCCGATTCTAGTCGCAAGACTTTAATTATGGGGATACCTTGTAAATCGTGCCGAGTTGCGTCCCTTGTCTTGTACAAGGTTGCGGCCGAACACCACATCACTCGGGAGCACCCATCTCCCTGGGAGTCATTGTGCTTAGTAAGCTAAGGGGTTCCGGAGAACCCACTACAAGCATACGAGTTGCGTGCATGCGTAACAGGCCTCCCTAGTACATCGCTATCTACGGTTGTCATCAGTCCACACAGCTCCAAGACCAGCTGTTCGCACTGTCCAGACAGAAGGGTAATCTGCGGCCCGCCGTCCAACCGTGGGAAAGTGCAAGTCGTGAGAAAGGATAAGTTTAAATTTGGAAATTAATTTATATTTATATACTTATCCTATCCTACACGATGGATGCCCGCCCGGCCTCCCCACTACTTAGATTACAACGTTGGCTCCAAGATGAGAATGATCATTCAAGGTAGTCACTTGGGCAATTAGTGGAGCATGCTGCAAGTTTTATTAGGAACTAGGAAGCTAATTAAGGAGAGCAGCATGGAGTGCACGGGCGAATGGACAAGGAGGCCTATGGAAAAAAGTTTACAGTCGTTCCACTAAAAGTAGAAGCAAGAGAGAGAGGTGCAAGTCGTGAGATAGGATAAGTATATAAATATACAATTTATATTAAAATTTCCAAATTGTGAAGACACAATCATGTTAATTAACTACGAACACTCATATAGGAATAAACTGTTTAATTCCACACACACTCAAAAAGATACTCACAAAATTCGCTCACAATACTTTCGACAATCACACATCGAAATGAATAAATGAGATAAGGACATAATCCAGTCGCTCACAATACTATCGACAATCACACATTGAAATGAATAAATGAGATAAGGACATAATCCAGTCACGAGTCGAGATATGATTCACAGTGTGTGTGGAGACATGAGCACATGTTAGACATCATTTGCACAGTTCCTGAAAGATGAATCCAGGATTCTAACCACAGCTGTTGTAGAAAGCAAATCCCACTGAAAAATAAGTATTCTATAATAAACCTTTTTTTTCTCCATAAAAAGAATGAAACTGAAAAATATCCTCTGATGCTGCCTTCTTGTCATGAATGTCACATGGCTTTAAGTTGTGACCGGATGTCTTCTGATCGATGAATCTTGCAGACATTGAAACTTGACCTGAGTCCAGTACAACACTGTTACATGACTTGACTTCTCCTCCACACTGAATCACGACCTTATGTTGCCTGCTGATGGATGAATCTCCCGTCACACTGAATCACGACCGTATGTTGTCTGCTGATGGATGAATCTCCCGTCACACTGAATCACGACCGTATGTTGTCTGCTGATGGATGAATCTCCCGTCACACTGAATCACGACCGTATGTTGCCTGCTGATGGATGAATCTCCCGTCACACTGAATCACGACCTTATGTTGCCTGCTGATGGATGAATCTCCCGTCACACTGAATCACGACCGTATGTTGTCTGCTGATGGATGAATCTCCCGTCACACTGAATCACGACCGTATGTTGTCTGCTGATGGATGAATCTCCCGTCACACTGAATCACGACCTTATGTTGCCTGCTGATGGATGAATCTCCCGTCACACTGAATCACGACCGTATGTTGTCTGCTGATGGATGAATCTCCCGTCACACTGAATCACGACCGTCGATGTTGCCTGCTGATGGATGAATCTCCGTCACACTGAATCACGACCGTGATGTTGTCTGCTGATGGATGAACTGTCACACTGAATCACGATCGTATGTTGCCTGCTGATGGATGAATCTCCCGTCACACTGAATCACGACCGTATGTTGCCTGCTGATGGATGAATCTCCCGTCACACTGAATCACGACCTTATGTTGCCTGCTGATGGATGAATCTCCCGTCACACTGAATCACGACCTTATGTTGCCTGCTGATGGATGAATCTCCCGTCAAACTGAATCATGATCTCTGATAAGGATGCGATGTGTTAGCAGCCTTGATGTTGGTCTTTATCGCACTGGGGGCTTTTCCAAGTGAGCCTGTAATTTGACAAAACAAACATTATATTACAAGAGTCATCAGAAGATGACAAATCTCCCCGGCCCCCATAAATTTGAAAGAACAAATCAACTGACAGTTACTTAAAGCCCAACTTGATTTTTTGGGACTAGGTCCAAATTGTTTCCATGGAAATCATGAAAAAAAAAAAGCCAAAAATCTGCAAATAGCAAACGTCAAAACTTCAAGATCTGTTTGATATATATGTCAAGTCTTGTAGAAAGATATTGAATGGTTTTCGAGTTGTGATCCGGAACGAAACCAACCCCTCCCTTTTTATCCCCCCGGCATGTAATGTTGAAAAGTATTGAACGGTTTTTGAGTTATGCTCCGGAAACAAAATGACGGATGGACGGACAGATGGACGAGGCGTCGACTATATCCCTCCGCTTTACATGCCGGGGGGATAAAAAGTTGTTTAGGGACCGTTATGGCTGGTGGGATGATAATGATTTTAAGGGTGGGTCACCCATTTTGTTCTGTGGGGGTGGGTGTCCTTCTGAGGAAATTTTGAACATAAAAATATTACAAAATAATGGGAAAATGGGTGGGGGGTCATTGATTTTGTACATGAAAGGCAGGGGGTCACTTACTTTGTACTTATATTTGGGAGGGGAAGGGGGAATTCACATTGCACATGCTTCTCCATAAAAAACGACATCACCCCCACCTAGCCATAAATTATGAACAGTCCCTTAACTTCGAAACAACGGCTAGCAAGGAAAACCATGAAGAACAAGCATAAAATACATCCCTCTACCAAAAGTGGTGCAGTATATTATATTATGAGCAGGTTTCAGCTGAGAAGAGTATTCAATACATACATATTTGCGGAGGGCAGTGAATAACTATACTGGGATGTACTCTCCTGTATAAAAACCAAATACAGTCAAATCCGATGAGTAGAATCGCTGGGGACCAAGTAATAAATTCGACTTATCAATGTATTCAAGACATAGGTATGTCTAAGAGGGTAGAAAAAAAAGATGATCCAGTCCTAATTCCTCCGCCTAAGCATTTGTTTATCTAATGATTTCCATATCACTAATAGGGGTACCTTATCAGTTCCAGTCTGATTAGCACAGACAGTGATTTCTGTAAAATCTCTAATCTGCCTTTTGAACTCACCCTTCAATGGCGGAAAGGTGTGAGCCGCACTGGTTTGTTAATTGGATCAGTTTGCTACACCAATTAACTTCTCATTGACTGATTTCGGCTTATGTATACAAGATTGCTGTTGTTTGAATCTCATGGGACCAAATTTCCTTCTCGAGTCATCGTGTGTATTTATGAGACGAATTCGTGTAACCGGTATTCAAATGATGACAACTATAACAGGGAATGGTCGGGACCGACAGGTACTTCTAGTTATGCACCGGCATTCGACTCATTGGGATTTGACTGTACGTGGTGTTGCATCACAGCAAACATCGTAAGTACTTGGATGATGGCATGTCATGATAAAGTTGTCTTTTATATGTTACTACAATGATTCCCTGTTTGCGTGATTTATCAAGAAAACTCTGAAAGTTCCTAAAGCATCTTTAAAACCCATAATACGAGGATATGTACAATGAACACTTTTTACAAAACGATTAACCTGAAGACAACAGCAGATTTGTTTATGTGGTATTTCTGATGATGTGAAGACGTGTGATTGCTAGTGAACTTCTTTTATGGGAGCCACAAATTACCCCCTGGTTTAACTGAAACCACGGCATTGCAAGGGGATGACTGTAAATTTGTCACCTTGTGCCTTTTGTTGAACCTTCTGTTGCTGACCGGATGACTGTCCGGGCATGGGTGGGGTGGGTGTGGTCGGTGGGTTGGGTCGCATCCTCAGCCCTTTCCCTACCAGTGTTGCTGCGATCAGTGTGTGAGTGTCCGACTGTATTGAGGTCTGTGGCTGGGCTGTTTTTTGTACTGGAAGAAAATTGAAGTCACAAGCTAGACTGATGTTTGTTTCATAACAAGACAAACAGTCCCTTTCATATGATTACTTCAAAAACTGCTCACGTTTGAGTTTCAAAAAATCTTGTCCCCAAAGAAACACATCAATAGTTCTCATATACTGTAATATAGAAGTTGTTTATTCATAGAGTTATCCCCTTGTTCATCACACCAACTTCTAGATACCACTCAGAGAAGTTATCCTTGATGTCTATACCATTACACTACTACTAGATGCAGGCACTATAGTTATCCTTGACGTCTATACCATTACACCACTACTAGATGCAGGCACTATAGTTATCCTTGACGTCTATACCATTACACCACTACTAGATGCATGCACTATTTGACCATATAAACCTGAAGAGTGCTTCTCACTATGTATTAGACATGGCTTCTTTTCCCGGAATACCCGCATTTGAGGTGTTTGTTTGCTGCCAGGTTTTACTTTTTGTAAGTAACACCTCTTCCCAAGTTTTACTTTTTCCTTACTCTATACTAACATCAACATTCAAATTCAGATCATATGTGAGTCAAAGATCGACTTTAATGTGCAAATGTTTTCCCTAGCAGGATTGGAACCGCATCTCTTAGGTAAATAAGTGGACACTCTACCTCACGGCCACCGGGCGTACAAAGAAGCCAGGGTTAAATTATCTATTTATAGTTAGGCCTACTGTTATGTAGCTTCATTACATGATCATCTAATTATCCATCATTGACGGTTTATATGTATAATAAAGCACTCCTCGGTTATGGTTGGGAAAGTAAGCCCTCAAGGCTATGCGTCAACAAAGTCAGCGAGCCTGACCACCCAATCCCGTTTGTCGCCTCTTACGACAAGCATGGGTTACTGAAGATCAATATTCTAACCCGGACCTTCACGGGTCCTAGACATACTAAAGAAAATTGAATTTCTGAACGACTACCGAAGATATAAACAGTTAAATGGCCAGATATTCATACACAATATCTCACAACATACACTGGGTATAAACTGAATTTTTGAAAACTGTTTACTAACCTGTCTCTTTCTCCCATTCATCTCTAGCAGAGTTCAAGATGTCCAGAATATTGCTGGTGATTTTATTCAACGTGTTGAGTTGTTTCTGTGACAGGGATACAGATTATATCACACACAATGAACAACTCCTGTTTGAATCTGGACCAGACAAACCATAATGGACACAGTGGAGTTACATTGACAAACAATCAACCAAGCCATTGAACCAGACCACCCAACCAAAGTTGGTTCTTGGGAATCTATTTTTTTGGTTTTGGTTTGGTTGTTGTCAATGCCACACTCAGCAATATTCCAGCTATATGGCGGCGGTCTGTAAATAATCGAGCCTGGACCAGACAATCCAGTGATCAACAGCATGAGCATCGATCTGCGCAATTGGGAACCGATGACATGTGTCAACCAAGTCAGCGAAACTGACCACCCGATCCCGATAGTCGCCTCTTACGACAAGCATAGTCGCCTTTTATGGCAAGCACATGGGTTGCTAAAGACCTATTCTATCCCGGATCTTCACAGGTCCTATGCAGTTGGGATAAGATGACATGTGTCAACCAAGTCAGGGAGCATGACCACCCAATCCCGCCTCTTACGACAAGCATGGGTTACTGAAGACCAGTTGTAACCTGGATCTTCATGTGCGGGGAATCTATTATGATCAAGTTACCTCAAAGACATATACATTGTATAGCTGCCTTGTTGAATGGTTGAACTTTTCTGGCTGATAATCACACAAAACAGATCAACAAACATTCAGATACACATTCTAACTCTAAGCTAACTCCAAGATCAGCCATATATTTTCAGTCATTAAATTCTGTGATCACATTTTCACCGGTTCTGTGTTCCCTGTTCTGTCATTTGTGATGCTCTCCTATTTTAATAATCATGATCTAAATGCTTGATGTGATTATGTACTATGCAAACAAACCGTTGCATTTTCAGGAACCACCGAGGAGGCCTTGGCGCGCTGAGGTTGTTAATCTTCTCCTCCACCTCCGCATCAGGCTTTGTCCGCAGGTAATCAGGCACAACTTCATGATTAAAAGCCAGCACACGCTCCTCCGTCAGTTTCTGTTGACATAATCACTCTACCTACACTCACATTCCAGAATACATTGAATGATTAACATAGCCGATAAAATCGGGTAAAATATCTGGTTTGATGAAGAGAGTCAAGAAAGAAACTAACAGACTTCTATTTTTGTCAATTTTTCATGGAAGAAGGACTTGTGGAATACATTATACAGTCTCAAGAGCAACCTCCCTCAAACCCCTCATAATATTGAGCAGCAAATCAGCAAATCTCTAAATCTTTACTGTAGGTGCAACAAGGCATCTTGTATTACATACTACTCTGAAGATGTCAAAGAACGCTTCATTCTTTCCCAAACCCTCATAACAAATCACAGTCAAAACAGCAGATCTCTTAACTGAACTGCAAGTGCATATAACAAGTTATCTCAACATGTGGTATTATATACTACTCTAGAGACGTCAAAGAACACTTGATTCTTTCATACTACCCACTATTGTAGTTAATTTGCCATGTTCCTGGAACAATGTGAATTTGTCATTGGGTGTTCACCTTCTTTTGATTTTTACAACTAATTTTGGTCAGCTTTAAAAGTCAATTTGTTGTGGCATGACAGAAACCCAAGGTCAAACAGTTCATATATTGTTAGGTAACCAATTACTATTTGGACAATCATATGAGCAAAGAAAAGAATATGTAAATTGTCTAATGGGTGCCATTACTTCCAGTTCCAGGTCCCTCTCTGGGGACAGGAGTACAGGAAACAGCACATAGTTTCTCAGCGTGGTGATCTTGTCTCCCTTCAGCTGTTTCCCTAAGGAGTTCAGCTGACCAGACAGCAGAGCAAAGTTGTCCAAGACATTTGGCCTAGAACAAACATTTCATGAGAACCATATTAATAGAGACTTAAGAGCTGGTCTACTCTGATTCATCAAAAGTTCTGTCAACAGAACACGGCAACCAAAAACAAAGAAGAAATAGAGTAAATCCAACAGGTGCATGATTGATGACTTAGCTTCAACTGAATTTCAGTTCGTGTTTATTGCTTAACAGGGCACTCAGCCATGTTGCAGGTATATGGTGTCCACCTGTAAATAACAGAATCTGAACCATACAATCCAGTGATTGACATTATGAGCATGAGCAAGGTTGTCAGGGTACACTAACACATCATCAACCAAGTCAATGGGGCAGACTGACCAATTGATTACATCAACTTCTGTAACAAACATAGGGTGCTAGTGACCAATATCAATATACAGTTTAGTCAAGACTTTTGACCACACACGGTAACCGATCTTGGTAACTGGGTTTGATGCTGAAATTTTATGGAGTAGCATGTATAATGTGAATGACACCCCTAAAATTAATGTACAAAGTTAGTGACACCCCCTGCATGTCATGTATACATAAAATCAATAACACCCTGTATTACATGTGTACAAAATGATGACCCCTACCGTCCCCAAGAACAAAATGGATGACCCCTACTTAAAATCATCACCACCCTCCCTAGCCATAAATTATGAATGGTCCCTAAGACTTTAATCATCCTTTCATGTTATCATCATGATCATGGTCATATGTATCGCAGGAACCACAGAAATACAGTGGTTGAGGACAGTATTCCAATATACCACAGGAAAGATAACTCTAATTGAAGACTAAAATCTAAATGACTGATAACTAAGAATGGCTGAATTTGGAAGTGGAATAATGTGATGACCTGCTAAATACATATTGAGTCTCTCCAACCCTTACCAGCTTAGGTGGTCATACTCATGTTCAAGTTTCTGTAAGAAAGAGGAGATGGAGTTCTTCAAATCTTTCACATTTTGAATCAACACATCAACTGATGATTCAAGTTGTTTCTCTTCTTTCTGAAAAGAGAATAACAAAGAATTGAAAATATTCTGGAATATGTTTCATGAGCAGATAAGTTAGAACACATATCAAACATTATTGTCATTAGTCAGAGGCAGTTCATGAAACATTGAATTAAGAATGGTAAGGGCTTCACAGATATTCTTTGAGACATTCCAGCTTTTAAATGGACATTCAGATTAACCAAGTGAGAGTTAATAAACAAAGCAAGAAAGTCATTTCTTGTCTCAGACACAGTTCTCATGTATGCTTGAACCCTGTATCACCTCAATTGTGTTTCAAGGTTTGTCTGCACAACTATGATTGTGGGTTTTACGCGTGAGTGAGTTTGGTTTTACGCTGCTTTTAGCAATATTCCAGCAATATGACTGCGGCAGACACCAGAAATGAGCTTCACGCATTTTACCTATGAGAGGAATCAAACCCAGGTCTTTAGCGTGATGAGCAGAAGCTTTAACCACTAGCTAGGCTACCTCACTGCCCCATGGGTTTAACAAAAGTGGTTAATATCAACAGAGACCATATGCCGATATATGCATAGTCTCTAACATCAAAGACCTGCATAACATCTTTACATTACTGAAAAAAAGGGGCGCTTTCAGTTTTAGGGGTTTTCTAAGCATTACGTTCGACTTTATGGTCCTCTCCCATGTCATAAAGGTACTTTTCATTACTTGCATATCTGTTCTTTGTATTTTTAAAAAAAATTAGGTGGGGGGTACGTAAGGAACTCTAACCAATGTATACAGCATATTAGTTCATATGCATAAACTCGTATTCCAGCCAAGGCCTACATCGCACATCTTGGTATAGTGCAAAGTCGTATAGTTATATGCTGGACTAACAGCATATCTGTCACATAGTAAAGGAAAATAACTCATGGTTATTCAGAAGCATGGCTAAATCTGTGACATGAAAAGGTTAACAGTTCAGTCAAGCAAAACCACAATCTGAGACCCCAATTTAAAAAAAACCCACGTGTAACAGTGTGAACATTGATTGATTGAACGAAATATGTTCTAAGAAAGCAAGATGTTAAAGGAAATTCTTTGCATCCGAAATAGAGTGATACAATGGTTTAATATCAATAAATTCCACGACCACGTGAAAGAGACGAGTGTAGCTCACGCTTCATGGTTGTTATGTCATCATAATCCGAAGCAAAGACAATATGCAATGTTATTTGATTGATGCTGATCCGGTTTTCGCTTACGATGACGTTTCTGTTAAAAGTGATGCTGCGTGTCATGATCGGTATTTGGGCCTTAAAATGAAAGCTCTATAAGTTGAAATGCTAATTTACCTGCATAACTAGCCTGCGTGTAATCAATACTAGCAACAATACAAGAGTGGATAGCTCCAAAAGCTTTAGCAGGTGCTTGGGCAGATATAAACAGGAAGTAGTCTTTATAGCGGATAATGCGCATGTCGAGTTCATTGTGAGGTCATTCATCCAATCAGAAAAGCCGCCATCTTAGGAAAGTATTTCTTTCTAGGTTGTGTTTGCAAAAAATATTTAATAAGGTAAGTTTGTATTCGTAATTTACTGTCTTGTTACGGTACTTTTAGTGTCATGATGTTAACCGATGTGGTGTATTGGCTTATCGCACACCTAAAGCCGCCTCCTTTGTTCTCATTGGCGGGGGCCTGGGTAAAATGATTGGGTGGCACATCTAACCAAGTTATTGGTCCGATTTTCCCTGTCCTAGCCATTCATTCTAATCAAATGTCCAGTCAGATTTCGGCTTACGTTTTCTTCATTAGAAGTTACTCTTATACGCGCGAAAAATACTACCAGTGAAATCAACCTAAAACCAAGCATTCTCGATTCACAACAGTCGACATCTGAGAAAACCCTCATTCTCGTATCAAGCCAAGATATATTTAACTACGATGTGCTTTCTAAAACGTGATCAATCTCGCTTGGGACGTATTGAAATACATAAACATGAAACAGACTATCGCCAGTCTCACTGCGCAAGCCATATTGAAAGCTGTTCTTTAGTAAGCAAATTATTTCCTGAATATCATTGTAGTTTCACTTCCCCGAAGAGACACCTAAGGTCAAGGTCGTTCCTCAAACCCGCAACTTTAAAACATCCTGTTCAAAATCAATACCCTAGCATTGATCAATGTTGTCTTACCCTGGCAAATAAAAGAATAAACTCAAACATTTGATTGTAGTTCCACAATGCCAAATGGATACAAGAAAATGACTGAAGTCATTAATTTAGTCTTTGACATGTTATGAATACGCTGATACACATGCAATTAACAATAACATGGGTAACGACCCACATTGACATAAGTAGGACTGGGCAAGTAAGTAATCTTTACTGTAACTATTGTTGAACAGTTCAAAGGACTATGATATTTAATCTCTTATCCAGATTCAATCAAAGTTTATATTTGATGGTATGAACTTGATCCACAATTGTTTTCTTTCTTGGCAAATTGCCATTGCTGGCATTTCATATCTCTCAATAAGTGCAGCTAAAACATCTGAAAGATATATTCAAGCTAGAATATTTAGCAGGCAAAACATTATTTTGGCACAGTCAATGGTCACAGTGAAAATCATGAAGGCTGCTTAGATGGAAAATTTCTTGCTTAACTGCTTATCTTAGGTATCGTATTTCCTCTAATAAGTGCCCCTGGCGCTCATTTTTTCAACGGACTTCCAGACCCAGCGCTTATTAGAGGCCTGGAGCTTATTAAAATACTCTGTGTTTTTAAAAACCGGGATGAGTACATGAAGTTATGATTTAAGGGACCATTCCTTAATATATTTATTTTTAGACCAAGGGAGAATACATTTGCGAAAAAATGCAAAGGTCTATACCCGGCGCGTTTATTAGAGACCCAGTGCTTATTAGAGGCCCGGGCTTATTTCTTAAAGCACTGTTTTATCCTCAGCGGTTATTAGAGGCCTGGCTTAATAGAGGAAATACGGTTTTTCAGCACTGAACTGAAGGCAAACTGGGTTGGGTGGGGATCATTCTATGGATATACAACTTCTTTATTACAATATGTCCATAGAACTTGTTCATCCACCAACTTCAAAATGCCACTGAAAGAAATGAACTGAAGGTGTCTCGAAATTGATTATACCAGAAAATATTGTAAAAACAAACATCAAACAACAGGTAAACTACTATCTTAAACATGATATTATAGCAGCGGTAGCTGTACCTATTTTTCCATATTGACCATGTTGATAACAAAATTATAATTGTATGAGAGTGGTTTATAGGCCTATAACAGCTGTGTCGTTATATGTTGCTCACATGATATAATCAATATCAAGCTGTGATAGCTGTATGATGATTGATACAATGTGTGTGGCAAACAATGAAATCATGGATTGCACAGGGATCAGCCCTTATCGCTGTTTGCTTTGTGAATGTGGACAGCCAAAGGCGGAATCAGTTCCATCATGTATTGACATAGATAGTACACGTGGTACATGCTACGAAAATATCTCACAGGGCTCCGTATAACTGTGACTGAGTATTTGTTCAGTGGCCGTGTGTGATCATTCATATTGGGTGTTTGATAGTTTCTTAAGGTATAGAATATATTTTACTCCATTGGATCTAGCTTATTTTAGATTGTGTTATTTGAAATTTAAAAAAATATGTGCTGAATATGCACATTTTTAATTTTTAGGTGACTTGTAATTTTCTTCTGACCATGTGGCCAAAAAGTGGCGATGTTGCATGAACTCAGCATCAATATATGTCTCTGTTAGTGTGGTATTTAGTTGTCTGGTTATGCAACTTGAAAATAATGTACACTGTTGTACCACTGAGTTTATGAAAGGTGTCATTGGTTGGGATGTTGGAAGCTGAAAACAAACTAGATTTTTATACATATTTTTTATAGTTTCCACAAATATTTGATGCTGTGTTTCATATTGAATTGAAATATATCATCTCCAGAATCCCCTTATCTTCATCATATCACTGATCTTTGGTCAGTCATGATCTAGTCAGTGGTAACTAGTCAGTGGTTATTATTGGACGATGAAAGAAATACACATGAAAGATACTGCAGGCCTTTCTTGTAGGGAAGACAATTTATTACAGCCATAAAGTGACTTGTTCACGATTATTTTTTGAAGTAACCTACTTATAAAATGAATATGATGAATTGACTCCAAAACTTGATGTCGTGCGCTGTGATATTTCAGCACATTGATAACCATGGCGTCGGATCCCAACTTCCAAGCTTCGATGCAGATGTCTGGCATCACAGAACAAGCACAACTGATGTTGACAGAATTCTGGCCCAAAACACTGGAAAATATACAGAACCTCCAATACGTAAGTCATGGGAAACCGAATCCACAAAGCCTAAAATGTGCACCATTCTACAATTATTAGTGGGGCGGTAGGGTGGCCTAATGGTTAAAGTGTCCGCTCATCATCATGCTGAAGACCCGGTTCGATTCCCAACATGGGTACAATGTGTGAAGCCATTTCTGGTGTATGTCGCTGTGATATTGCTGAAATATTGCTTAAAGCGGGTTAAAAACTCACTCACTCACTCACTGTATTAGTCTGGTGATGTGTGAAAGTGATGTCATACACCACCACATGAAGCTATGTCACACGATATGCTTCATTCTGTTGCATTCTTTATCAGATTCTGGGCGGTTGGGTAGCCCTTTGGCTAAAGCGTTCACTCGTCTCACCAAAGACCAGGGTTCGATTCCCCACATGGGTACAATGTGTGAAGCCCATTTCTTTGGGTCCCCCGCAGTGATATTGCTGGAATATTGCTAAAAGCGGCGTAAAACCATACCTATTCACTCACTCACTTTATCAGATTCTTAACAGGTTTGGTCTGATCAACATATTAGCATTTCCATGAGGCATGAGTCCATTATTCAATTATTAAGTTGATTTATGATGCTCTTTTTATGAACAGCATAACAATCCATATTGTGATGTAACAGGATCCTGGCTTGGGTGTATTGTTTCGCCTATTGAACATGTTTTGTATCCACTGTGTAACCATGGTAACAGTGACAAGCTGAATTTTATTTTTACAAGTTATTAATCAAAACCATCTAACTTTATGTCAGAAAGTTTAATATAAAAGTCACACTGTGTATTATAATATTATAGTTCTGCTCGACAGTGTATTAGAAGAAAAAAAACGCGAAAAATATGGGCAACACTTACCATGCTTATGGCAAGCTATTACTGGATACTATGCGAAGATGGTGTATTGATTATGTCAATCAGTTATTTGTTACCATGGTTACTGAGAAGTTATGACTTTGTTTCATCTTGCTGCCATTAAATCTTCTTCCAGAATGACTTTAAGGGGCAAGAACTCCCCCTTGCTAGAATAAAGAAGATAATGAAACTTGATGAAGATGTAAAGGTAAGTTGAGATGTCATTGTCAACATAAACTAACGTTCATTTGATTATCCCAATATACTACCATGCATTTTTACTGCTTTGGCATGTTTATGTGCTTTGCTAGCTCATACATGTTTAGTATTTGTAATGAATGTGTAGTTACTGATGAATTTTCCTTGACATCAGGGGCGGTGGGGTAGCCTTGTAGTTAAAATGTCCGCTCATCACGCCAAAGAGTCGGGTTCAATTCCTCACATGGGTACAATGTGTGAAGCCCATTTCTGGTGTTTCCCCGCCATGATATTGCTGGAATATTGCTAAAAGCGGAATAGAGAAATACTCATTCACTCCTTACCATCATTTTGTATATATTGGAACGAAATAGATTTGACAGAATATGTAAACAGTAATAATTTTTGTTTTGTAAGTTGAATACACACTGATTTTTAGAAGGTGATCAAATGTATCATATTTTATATATGTTATAACACTTTCTCAGTAAAGTACATATTTTAGTACTTATTTGACTTGAACCCCAGCTGGGATTGGAACCCACACAGAGTAAGACACCTTATAACCTTAATCTGCCTTAGCAAAGTCAGGGATCTAATTTACTCTGCCTTTGCAGCTTTCAGTTCTTCGTAAATGGAAGTATGAGAACTGGCAGTCCAGACCACATACATTGTGTATCCCTTTAGTCTTATCTTGTTTAGGTGGGACTAGCGACGCACCCTTAGGACCAGTGTAATTAGTTTTCCATTAGTTTTGAGGAATGTGTTTCTAAGGGTGCACAACCCTTAGACTAACGCTTAGCCTCTGAATATATATGATTTTGATAGTAACAAATAAACCCATTTAAATTGAAAAGGAGCCCAAGGGAGACCGGAGATTCAGAACCTGAACCTGAGGAAATCTAGACTTGCTTTATTTAGGACTTTAGCACTGCAGAGAGGGCTAGGCAGTAGGGAAAATAATGTGGTTCAGGGACTGTGAGACAGACTACACAACCCTGTATGCCATGTAATGATTGTGCTTTCTTTGTCTCCTAGATGATAAGTGCAGAAGCACCAGTGCTGTTTGCCAAGGCAGCAGAGATATTTATAAGTGAGCTGTCTCTGAGGGCCTGGATTCACACTGAGGACAACAAGAGGAGGACACTACAGGTACGTAATGATCCCTCTTGAGGTTTACTACTACTACTAATATGGCCACTTATATACCACTGAACTCCATGCTGCAGGGATTGAGTGAGTGAGTTTAGTTTTACCCCACACTCAGCAATATTCCAGCTATATGGCGGTCTGTAAATAATCGAGTCTGGACCAGACAATCCAGTGATCAACAGCATGAGCATCGATCTGCGCAATTGGGAACTGATGACATGCGTCAACCAAGTCAGGGAGCCTGACCGCCCGATCCTGTTAGTCGCCTCTTACGACAAGCATGGGTTACTGAAGATCAATATTCTAACCCGGATCTTCACGGGTCCCATGCTGCAGGGACATGCTCTAAGTGCATACAACATGATGGACATCATTATGCCAGATAACCAAAGCTGCCTGTGAGGTGCTAGAAGCTTAATAGTCATATGACTTATCCCACCAGGTACCCATTTTCTGCTGGGTGAACAGGGACATCTTTTTAACAAACTCACTTGCCTAAGGTGAGACCATGTGAAGTCCTAGAAACTCTCAGGAGTCAAGCTGCTAAACACAGTCACTCATCCAAGGACCCGCCGTGACCAATGTTGCTTAACTTCACCTGAATTGTGACCTGCAATCTATGCACAAGACAACACACCACCATTATTAGGGAGAGATTATTCTTTTGCCAAAATGGCATATTTTACACACTATAAATTGTATAAAAGTTATATCTGTTGTGGAAGTCAGTGTTTAATGACAAATGCAAGAAGGAATAAGGAGCGTTGTTCTTTCTGTCAATAAATTATGAATGGAAACATCAGTTGTGAATGAAAAATGTGTAGATGTTAACTTAAACCTAATCACAAAATCTGACATCATTTTTTACCCAGTGCAACAGTTTTCAGAGAATGTATTGTAATACGTATTGTTTGAAAAGCGAATTGTGGTATTGCAGTCCTAGTTGCTTCATTGGGCTAGATCTATGTTAAGTAGCTGTGCTGAATGGGTGACTGTGAGGATAGAGATGAGTGGGCATATTCAAGACAGGGATAGAAGTACTTTTTTTTCTAAGTGTGCCTTAGGGCACCAGACAAATATTTTAGGTGTGCCTTTCAGAAATCGAGTGTGCCCACATGTTTTTAGAATAAATGACAATGATGATGATCATTTGAAATTTATTGTTAAATAAAGAAATGGGTTTATGAGCATTCAAATATGTATGGTATTATTCAATTTGGAAAAAAAGAATTGTATAGGGGATTAAATGACTAAGTGTGAGTTATGACTCTAAAAAATTAGGGGTGTCAAAACGGCACAGGAACATTTTTTAACCGTGCCATTTCAATATTTACCGTGCCATGGCACACTAATATATGGGGTATTTCGAACCCTGCAAGATATGGCTGATAACTGTGTTTTTGTTTCAGAGAAATGATATAGCAATGGCCATTTCAAAGTTTGACCAGTTTGACTTCTTGATCGACATTGTGCCAAGAGATGAACTTAAACCGCCAAAGAGGCCAGTAAGTAAAGATGAAATGTGTGCAAAGACCTTCTCTGCTGCTTATACAATTAATTTGCTTATCTTAAAAAAAATGTAAGAATTGAGTGAAGAGAGTGGAATAAATGAGTCTCTACTTCAAGGTCTAGTACAAATGTAAAACCCTATTTCATGTGTCGTGACGGTACGCTCCCTTTGTTTTGCAAACAGGAGGATTCTTCTAGAGTGTCCAATAACCTTCCGGACCAGATCAACTACTATCTCCAACTAGCTCAGCAACAGTCCCAACAACAACAACAGCAGCAGCAGCAACAACAGCAGCAGCAGCAGCAACAACAACAGCAGCAACAACAACAGCAACAGCAGCAACAACAACAGCAACAACAACAACAGACTGTTGTAGCACAGCCAGCCCCTGCAACTCAACCCGCAGCACAGGTGGTGACAGCAGCAGCAGCAACAACACAAGCAGTGGCACAGCCCAATGTTATGGCAATACAGCTACCATGTAGGTGACCTTTAGTTATAGAATGATTTGGATACTACAGATGTTATGTTTCATGGTCATTTGCTCATGGATGTTATTGTACCAGGTGTTACAGATGTGCATAGTTGTATCCTAAACCTGCCAGGATATACTGATTGGTTCTAATTTCAGAATTGTCCCAGTTCTGGTTCTGTGGTCTGTCAGCCTCATATAGTCATTCCCATTAGTTTGAACAGGGCTCCAGATAAGGGTCTTATCGGTGTTTGTACGGATATAAAATAAGCAGGATACGGTAGGAAATAATTTAGAAAACGTAGCAGATACGCACCACAGCAATGGTGTACGGTCTTAGAATCATTTACAGACTTGTTTATCTGAAAAAGTATTGTTTTATTGTTTATTGACCTGTTTCCACAAGAGTAGCAATGTTGTGGTGCATTACGAAACACAAGATTACCGATACTCCATTAAATTCCATTCAGTACTCTAAATGTCCTCTTATTGTTTTCCAGTACTCCTATATTTGAAAAAATAAGGAGTACGTACTCCTGATCATGAAAAATTATCTGGAGCTTTGTTTGAAAATAGACTGTCCATGACTTTGCATCTCTATGTGGCCTGCTGCATAATGAGTGAGTGGGTTGGATTTAAAATCTCTTTGAACAGCATTCCAGTCATATCTCTTGAGTCTCAGGTTTATGAGGGAGGAGGGCGGTGGGGTAGTCTAGTGGTTAAAGCGTTCGCTCGTCATGCTGAAGACCCGGGTTCGATTCCCTACATGGGTACAATGTGTGAAGCCCATTTCTAGTGTCCCCTGCTGTGATATTGCTTGAATATTGCTAAAAGCGGGGTAAAACTCACTCACTCACACACTTATGTGGGAGGAAAGCCTGAAGTGATGTGGGTCTTGGATGTTTACCACATAGCTGGAACCATTGAGCTTGAGTATGGTGCTGACAAACCTAGAGACATTACCAGGGCAAACAGGATTCAAACCCACAATCATAGTTTACTGGTGTCTCCAAGGGACACAACTCTGTACATAGAATTGTGGCACCTTGGGAAACTGGGCCATCTGTGCCCTCAGCTCCATAATGAAGCTAATGGTGCAGTATAACTGAATACTGTGTCACTACACCTCAGAACACTACTTCTACTTCCAATTTGATAGGGACGGTGGGGTAGCCTAGTGGTTAAAGCGTTCGCTCGTCAGGCTAAGGATCCTGGCTCGATTCCCCACATGGGCACAATGTGCAAAGCCCATTTCTGGTGTCCCCCGCCGTGATATTGCTGGAATATTGCTAAAAGCGGCGTAAACCTCAACTCACTTACTCACTCACGTTTTTCAACATTTCCCTGTTTTTGTTGTTTCAGCTGGACAGATCATTCAGCAGCCTCTACAGTTCCAGGTACATAAGTTCCTACACTAGTGTGTGTTGTCAGATGCTGTTTATCACTGCTTTCAAAACATGTCTAATGAGCCAAGTCAGAGACTTTTGACAACATTCTGTAAGACAAATGGTATCAGACAGACAGTAACCAGTTTATTATACACCCTAATATTACACCATTTTAGATCATCGAGAAATATTTTGTCTATTCTCATGATCACAGTGGTGCATTACTACAAAAGGCAAGGAGAAATTTACTTCATTCGCATTTCAACTTGTTGGATTGGATCTTTGGTTTGTCTGTCCAGACTTGGATGTTTACAGGCTTCTGTCATACAGCTGGAATATTGCATAGTGTGGCATATTGTCCAAGCATCCCAAAGTCTGTTGTAAGAGCAAATTTAAATGAGGGTTGAGTACAATGAATGATCTGGCAGATTTTGAGTTCTTTTGTCGTAAGACTTGGTTGACACATGTCATCATATCCCTATTGTGTAAATCAATGCTCATGAAGCTGAGCACTGGATTGTCTGGTCCAGCTGCGATTATTTACAGACTGCCGCCACATAGCTAGAATATTGCTGAGTGCAGTGTTAAACAACAATCAATCAATCGATTATTAGTGTAGTGAAGCACTGGTTTGCTTAACCATTGTATTTACATTGGCGGTTGGGTAGCCTAGTGTTTGCCTGTAATGCTGATGGCCTAGGTTCAATTCCCCACATGGGTTCAATGTGTGAAGCCCATTTCTGGTGTACCCTGCTGTGATGTTGCTGGAATATTGGTAAAAGCGGGGCAAAACCACACTCACTCACTCAGTATTTAACAATTGCCTCACTCATTCATGTACTGTGTGGAATATTGCTAAAAGCAGCGTCAAAACTCACCCATTGTATTTATGAACCAATGTGATAGAGACTGTTAGTAGTGTTACTTGCCTGTGTAAAACAACTTTGTATCTGTCAGTATAGTTATCTCCCTTTATTTCTAAAGCAGGCTCAGCCACAGGTGATCCAGGTGCAAGCTCCTCAACAAGTGCAGCAGGTGCAGCAAGTACAGCAACTGCAACAGATGCAGCAGCAGCAGCAACAACAACAACAGCAGGTGCTTGTACAGCAGGCACAAACAGCAGTAGCACCAGCGCAGCAGCCGCAACAGCAGCAGCAGCCGCAGACACAAGTGTATCAGCAGGTGCTGACACCAACGGGGGAACTACAGACTGTCCCTGTGAGTAAGACATTGTGGCTTTATAGATGTGACAGTTGTGCTGTTGTTTGTGTAACTTAAGTGAGATCTAAATCCTGTGAGCAAAGATGTCAAGCAAGAGTCACAATTAGAGTCTTGTATAAGATGCAGAAATCTTCCCATTGACTTTTCAGATAAAATATCTGTGAAAAGCTATGTTTTGGTCTGGGTGACATTATTGTCCATCCAGCTTCAGGATTTCCAGTTTCATTGTCTGTGTCACATGTGATGAATCTAGGTGACATTAATGTGTTATGTAGATACCAGGTCATTTTCTGTGTCAGTAAAATACTTAGTCGTCTGTGTTAGTGACATTATTGTCTGCCCAGCTGTGTGTTGTCATGTCAGTGAAATGTTTTGTGGTCAGTGTAGGTGATGTTATCGTCTGCCCAGGTTCGTGTTATCATGTCCGTGATGAAATGTTTTGTGGTCTGTGTAAGTGACATTATCGTCTGCCTAGCTTTGTGTTGTCGTGTTGTCGTAGGTCGTTATCGTGAAATGTCGTTTGTGTTCTGGTCATTGTAAGTGGCGTTATCGTCTGCCCAGGTTCGTGTTATCATGTCCGTGAAATGTTTTGTGTTCTGTGTAGGGGACGTTATCATCTGCCAACCTTCATATTGTCGTGTCAGTGAAATGTTTTGTGTTCTGTGTAGGTGACGTTATCGTCTGCCAACCTTCATGTTGTCGTGTCAGTGAAATGTTTTGTGTTCTGTGTAGGTGACGTTATCGTCTGCCAACCTTCATATTGTCGTGTCAGTGAAATGTTTTGTGTTCTGTGTAGGTGACGTTATCGTCTGCCAACCTTCATATTGTCGTGTCAGTGAAATGTTTTGTGTTCTGTGTAGGTGACGTTATCGTCTGCCACCTTCATATTGTCGTGTCAGTGAAATGTTTTGTGTTCTGTGTAGGTGACGTTATCGTCTGCCAACCTTCATATTGTCGTGTCAGTGAAATGTTTTGTGTTCTGTGTAGGTGACGTTATCGTCTGCCAACCTTCATATTGTCGTGTCAGTGAAATGTTTTGTGTTCTGTGTAGGTGGCGTTATCGTCTGCCAACCTTCATGTTGTCGTGTCTGTGAAATGTTTTGTGTTCTGTGTAGGTGACGTTATCGTCTGCCAACCTTCATATTGTCGTGTCAGTGAAATGTTTTGTGTTCTGTGTAGGTGACGTTATCATCTGCCAACCTTCATATTGTCGTGTCAGTGAAATGTTTTGTGTTCTGTGTAGGTGACGTTATCGTCTGCCAACCTTCATATTGTCGTGTCAGTGAAATGTTTTGTGTTCTGTGTAGGTGACGTTATCGTCTGCCAACCTTCATATTGTCGTGTCAGTGAAATGTTTTGTGTTCTGTGTAGGTGACGTTATCGTCTGCCCAGCTGCAGGCCATCCAGATGCAGCTTCAGGGGAAGCAGGGCGACCAGCCAATCATCATTCAGATGAACCAGGGCATGCAGACGGCAGCAACAGCACAGCCACAGCAAGCTCAGCAGACATTCACACAGGTATGAGGACAGTGTGACTAAGCGTGGTTTCTGTCTAATTAATTACCTTCCGACATTTAGCTTCCTCTGTGTGAGGTGGCGGGGTTGCTTAGTGGTTTAAGCTTTCGCTTGTCATGCTGAAGACCTGGGTTCAATTCCCCACATGGGTACAATGTGTGAAGCCCATTTCTGGTGTCCCCAGCCGTGATATTGCTGGAATATTGGTAAAAGCGGGGCAAAACCACACTCACTCACTCAGTATTCATCAATTGCCTCACTCATTCATGTACTGTGTGTGTTTGCAGCCGATGTACCAGATTCAGCAGGTGGGCCAGGGAGGGCAACAGATCGTCATACATCAAGGAGGTGGAGACTCGGACAACCAGGCTGATGGCCAGGAAACATCATAACACTCACAGCATAGCAGCCACCCTGCTCATCTGTGTGATCAGTCCCACCGCCTTAGGAGCCAGCGTGAACTGTGGGACGCTAAAGCCAGGGAAACACAAGACATTTAACTTGGGGATGTGTTCAGAACCTGTAGCCACTAACGACCCAGATTTTTCAACATCCATGACTTTGGGATATATCGGGATGTGAATATCATGGATATGATGGCAGATATGGCTGTCAAGGATATTTGACAAAGAGATATGAGAATATCAAGCATATGTTGGGAGATATGTGAATATCAAGATATGTTGACAGATATGTGAATATCAAGCATATGTTGACACAAATATGCTAATATCAGGATATGTCAACAGATATGTGAATGTCAAGGAATGTGAACATACAGAACGGAATACCAAGGATATTCAAAGATACAGACATGTAAAGCATGAATGTGGACATCCTGAGATGCCCAAATATCGGACCAGAACATTCAGAAATGTGAATGTCAAGGTCGTGGCTATCATAAATATGAAGGATCAAGGATATCAAGGATCAAGGATGTATGTAACTCTAAAAACCAACTGCTTGTGGGATTCTAAAACTTCCTTTAGTTCAATGCATGACAGTGATGTTGAAGACGTCACAAACACTACCAAAAATTGTTTCTGCAATTCTTGTGCAAGTAGGACAAGTAGGACACAGTCAGCATGATCAGTTGAAGCCAAAATATGTCATACAAGAATCAGCCCTTTGTCATAATTGTTCTGTGTGTTTTTTATACCGTATTCCTTTGCTTATTAAGATTCAGGATCTTTGCATGCTTAGTCATGAATTTGCTTAGTGACGTTTTCTTACAGGTGAATCAAGACCTTGCAATTGTTGGTTATACAATGGGAATTTTGTGTCATCGTATGAGAACCCTCATTGTTTTTGCTGTATTTGCAGACTTGAAAAACAGTCATGCATTGTTCATCTGACTAAGCCAGTCTACATCTCCTGATAATGCAGCTGAGTTATGGACATTATGCTGACTTAACAGCAGTTCAGGTGGAACAGGTGCACAAGTCATTTAAAGTAACCTCAATTCTCTGTGCAGAGGACAAGAGAAAGTGTTTTCCCAGGATCCAAAAAGGACCAGACAAGAGGATTTCAAAATGGGCACCAGTATTCCAAAAGGGCATGCAATAACAGATTTCCAAGTATTATGTTAAGTTATTCATGCATATGATTCTTTAAGGCTCAAAGAGCAGAGTTATTTCACTGAACTTCAACACAAAATCGAAACTAAATACCGCCATGTGTTAATATCAATTATTGTATTAGAAGAAGAGCAGGGCGCCAAATAACAAGGGCAGGGCGCCAAATAACAAGGGCAGGGCACCAAATAAAGAGGACAGGAAAACAAATAAAATGGGTAGGGTGCCAAATAAAAAGGGCAGGCTGCCAAATAGAGAGGCAGGGCTCTGTGTCCTGTTAAAAATATCATGGGGAAACACTATGAAACTTATGACTGTGGGTTTGAATTCCTGGTCACCCTGATTTTGTTTCTAGGTTTTCTAACACCATACCCATACCTGTGGGTTTGACTAAATTTGTAAACATCTTCGACTCATTTCATGCTCTTCCCACAGTCAGCTTACTTGCCGTGATATGAGTGGAATTCTTTTCAAAGCAGCATTGAACCCAATATACTCACTCACAATGTTACATAACTGCTACAAAGAGTTGTTAGTGAATACCTTTATATTGTTGTTTAATTTATTACATTTGTTTACTAGGGAACAACCTTTGGTAGTCTGCTAACCATGAAATGGTTATTCAGAATAGGCAGCTATTACTAGAAACTGTCCATGTTCGGTACTTTCATTTTACGTCATTGTTATGGACAGTGTCCATGTGCATTTGTACAAAAAGCTTCAGACATTTGTCATTGTCAACGTGTTTGTTGTGCTGAGGGTTTGCAGATTATGCATGTCTTACATTAAAAAAGGTTTCACAAAGGCCTTCACTCATTCACTCTGTTATGACAATGGAGTTGTATTTTCACCTTGATTGAGCATGTATGCCATGCAATACTTGACCTTTAGAATTTCATTCACAGACCCCTTTTAAGTGCTTAACAATGGAGAGGAGTACTTTCATGTGTAATGGAAGAAAACAATTGTTTTAACCAGTGTGAATATATTTATCTAAGTTTCAGAAATTGAAAATCACTTCTTTCACTGTGTGTTAAGTGTTATTAACCCTGTGATTGTCACAGTCAGGTAAAATAATCAGTAATATGAGCCCTTAAAAGTAAACACTGCAATGTTGTTAAGGTTAATCATAGAAGACCGCTTGTTTGTGGGAAAGTAGGCAGGCTTCATTTTATGGCATGGAAATCCAAGTGAATATAGAAATCAGAAATGCATGCTTTTATTGAATATATTTTGATTAAGAAAGTTCCTATGCTACTGTAAGGGCAGAAGGGTGGTTTGTACCTAGATAACCAACAGTATTAGCGTGTGGACTCTGTGTTGCCCATTTTGACAAGTATTAAGATGGTCTGGATCAGGTATGTCAACTAAAAAACATAAGTACGGTAAGATGTTCTATTATAAATGATGTATGAAAAATATCAAAAGAAATCCAGTGTACATTCTTCTCTATTGAATTGTGCTAAATCGTATCACATGATGATTGAATAACACACAAAAATTGGGTTTGCAGTGATAATACAAACAGAAAGACTGATGATCTACATTTCCATAGGGATGGTTTTACATTATAGATGTAACACCCCAATCAAGACCCTTGTATTTATGTATTACTTCATTAACTCAAAATATGTTCAATAGCTTTGGATCATCATATCATTTTCTATGTTAGAAATGTTCTTCAGTCATGTCAGCAAAGTAGTGTTGTTTTAAATATGAGTATTACTAGAATTCAAGGCCTTACTACAAATACGTTTCTGATACAACAAGCAATATCCTACCTGAGATCAAGTGGTAATATCTTCAAACAATGTAACACCTGCATTTTGCCTATCACAGGACATGTGTCCTTGGAATAAGTCTTCCTGGTCCATAATAGTGTAAAGAATGAATTTGGAAACATTGTAATTGCACCACCTGTGGATAAATGTGGATGCATATTATTCTGACTGAATTCTTTAGGCCCTCATTTAATAAAACTGCAGCTTTATGGGACAAACCAACACTTAAAATACACTGCAGGCAAGAAGGACCCATACAAGTGACACCTATGATCTACCTGCCATGAGCCTTTGGATCTATTCACACACTGGCTATGATGCCACCCATAGACAAATTGGGAGGAGGCTTCGTGTAATGTTTCTGTAACTTCCATCTAGTTTGGGCCTCATAATGGAACTGGACTATTGCTGATTTCAACAGTTACTTGCCTAATTTGGCCAATTTGTATGACTGAATAATCAGTGTATGAAATAAGCCAAAAGCCCAGCCAGACACCAGGCACCAAAATGGATTTAACCAGACCAGACACCAAGATATGGTGAATTTACTCAGATGTATGGATTTTTTTATCAGACCATCGGGCTGTCTAGCTGTTAATTTAGACATCCATCAGAAATCTAGCCCATGTGGGTGGGTGGTCGGACAGGCCTTATTTCATACACTGCTTGATTGGAATCTTGTTTATTTATGTACTTTTACTAGAGATTTAAACACAAAGTGAAGTATAAGTATTCCACTAAGTGAAGTATAAGTATTCCACTTAGTGAAGTATAAGTATTCCACTAAGTGAAGTATAAGTATTCCACTTAGTGAAGTATAAGTATTCCACTAAGTGAAGTATAAGTATTCCACTAAGTGAAGTATAAGTATTCCACTTAGTGAAGTATAAGTATTCCACTAAGTGAAGTATAAGTCTTCAAACTCTAGTTTTCAAGTCAAGATTAGAGATGGGGAGCTCATGCTATTTATGACTAGCACCTACATGTTGAGGTAGCCCTACTTACAGAACATGTAACTCATTGCTGAATTCACCTGACAAATAAATAAATCCTTGTCAACAGCTGTTCTAGTTTCTATATTTCCTTTGTTCCAGGTTGAATTTCCAGGTTTAATGGTCCCAAGCATGCTATGCTGGTCTTGAGGATCGATTGGTTGATCAGGCTTGTTTGACCTCATTGATTGTGTGGTGTATTGTGATGATGTGGATAACTATATAGTTGCCAACAATATTGACTACTAGATTGTCTGGTCGTGAGGCCTTTAAGTTACAGACTGTTCTCAAACAGTTTAAGGTTAGCCTAGTGGTTACAGCGTCCAATTGTCAGCCAAATGCGTAGAACGATGCTCATGCTGTTGATCACTGGATTGTCTGGTCCAGACTTGATTATTTACAGACCTCCGCCATGTAGCTGGAATATTTGCTGAGTGCGGCGTTAAACAACAAACCAACCAATCGTCAGCCCAAAAACGGTTCAGTTCCCCATGTGGGTACAAGGTGGGAAGCCCATTTTTGGTCCCGGCTGAAATATTGTTTAAGGGATGTAAAACCATATTCACTCATAGTGCTTGAGCGACTAACGGGATCGGGTGGTCAGGCTCGCTGGCTTGGTTGACACATGCCATCGGTTCCCAATTGCGTAGATCGATGCTCATGCTGGTGATCACTGGATTGTCTGGTCCAGACTCGATTATTTACAGACCGCTACCATATAGCTGGAATATTGCTTAGTGCGGCGTAAAACTCAACTCACTCACTCACTATAGTGCTTGAATGAAGCTGATTGGGGTTGAACAACAAACACTGTTCCCAACACGGTTAGAGATTAGAGAGCTCACATTGGAAGCCAAAGACCCACTCATCACCGAATCAGTTCATTTTAAATCAGTATCCCAAGGGCATAAGCACCTTCTCCTATCTGCACTCTGAGTGTCTGGGGAATCAGGGTTAGGATTGGCCACCTCAGGTCCGTTCCACAAAACGATCGAAGCGTTACGACTCATCGTAAGGCTATGTTATAGTACTATAGTCGGTGATGAGTGGATACCAAAACCAGTATATTGTGAGTACCTTAGGGAAACAACTTCCTCTTGCAATTCACGAACTAATGCAGCATAAGGGTCGGAAGCGAACTATGACATATCTCATCCACAACTGCATCGAAGGCAGTTTTAGGTATCGTTTTGCAATTCAAGACTGAGTTAATATTATTCATGATCTGAGTTCAAATCATTCATGATCTGAGCCTTATTATTACCTCAGCTAAGAACAAAAAATCTAATATGATCACTGTCAATATATTAGTAGTGGGTAACTTCGCTCCCTAGAAGACCTCCAACTTCAGACATCGCTCCTGAAAGTGTTAACATATACAACACGTCATTAATAAAGGGTAAAATGATATATAGCACATGTAAAGAAAGGTTTCTCAGAAATAATAGAACGAAGATAGTCATCATAATGTTTAATGTGTTGACAAACGTGACACATCGTGACATACAGACAAAAAGTCAAAACAGCTCCAGCAAACATAGACCAACCCCGCAAAATGAAATTGACAACCATGAAGCACTCAGTCATTCAATATCTTGTGAACCCTCCTCGCGCGTCCAAGACACAGGTGCACCTTGTTCTCATGCTCCTTATCAAGTTCATAGAAAGCTAGCGGAATCGCATTCCATTCCTCTACTAGAGCTCTGCGGAGTCTTGGGAGATCCACTGGTGCTGGGTGACGTGTGTACACCAAGTTCATCCCAGGCATGCTCAATTGGGTTGAGGTTTGGCGAGCATGCTGACCACTCAAACCGCTCTACACCCTGCTGCGTAAGGAATTCTGTGACAACCCTGGCCCTATATGAGGCACTGTTGGCTTGCAGTAAAGAGGGTCGGCCATAAACGCAATGCATAGCTTGCAGGAATGGTACTGCTATATGCGCCAGAACCACGTCCCGATAACGCTGTCCGGTAAGATTACCGTCGACCACGTGCAGTCGAGTAGGAGTTATCCCTGCCCAAACCATGACCGACCCCCGCCAAATCGGTTGCATCTGTGATTCGCTCTCCATTGCAACGATAAATCCTCTGCCGACCATCATGGAAGGACAAATTGAATCTGTTTCATCTGTGAAGAGCACATGAGACCACTGACGTTGATTCCAGCGGCCATGATGTCTACTCCATCTCAAACGCGCCTGCCTGTGACGTGGTGTTAGTGGTGGACGTACTGCAGGTCGCCTAAAAGCGGGGTCCGGGTGCCCTTAAACGTCGACGAAAGGTGCTCCTGGATATCCTTACATTGTTAACATTGAAGTGTTCTGTCTGAAGATCTGCTGCGTTAAGGAATCTGTTACGTAACGCAGTGTTAATCATGTTCCTATCCTCTCGGACTGTTGTGACGCTGGGACGACCAGGTCGACGTGCGTATTCCACGGACCCATTGGCTTGAAATCTCTGCCACAGTCTACCAATAGCTCTCTGACT